TTTCATTCAGGCACCCTGTTGATATGGGGTGTTTCCCTGTTCCCAGACAGATATTTGCTACTGTTAATCCCATCTCCCTCCCCCCCCAATAGTTTCCCAGTACCGCCAGTCATTTTCTTATAGTATTGCATTGGATGTTTAAGGTCCATTATATGAGTGAGAACATGTGATACTTGGATCTTTGTTTCTGTGAGAGGTCACTCAGTATTATAGACTCTAGTTCCATCCAGGTTGCTGCGAAATTCATGATTTTGTTCTTTTTTATGGCTGCGTAGTATTCCATCGTGTATATGTACCACATTTTTTTAATCCAGTCCTCTTTTGACGGGCAGCATGGTTGTTTCCAGATTCTTGCTATTGTGAACAACGCTGCGATAAACATGCGTGTGCAGGTATCTTTTTTATAGAGTGACTTGAAACCATTTTTTTAAATGTACTTAATTGTAATAAATTATTTTGAATAAAAAGTTACCAACATTTAAGAATAATGCTGAAATCAAAGTTGTGCCTCTATATTGATGCAATCTGAAGTTCAAGATTGTTCTTATACACGTTTATATTTTTTTAAACTGTTTGTAATGTGATACTATGAAATCCTATGGAAATACACCCAGTAACAGTGTGAATTCTCATATTATGTAGTTGGTGATTGACTCTTGCCCTCAGCCAAATCAAAAAGATTAAATTTCCTTTATCCTAAGAGTCATTTACTTTTTTGATGATAGCATCACACAAAATATTGCTATTTTTATTGTCATTATAACCACATGTAACTAACTTTACCTTTAGAATAGTTCCCTCCAGGAAATTCAGGTTGTTGTGTTTTTTGTTGTTGTTGTCTTTTTAGCATATTCAACAATATAAAATACTGATTACATCTAATAATTGTAATATGTATTTTAATAAGAAGCATCTACTCCCAAATAGGTAGCATTGGCTGAAAAGGAGATCAAGGTAGTTTTTAATCACCTTTTACTCTGAACCCTATATCTTGATCTGCCTTTCAGATTTTTCTTAATGTTTCCTCCAGGTAATTTTAGGAAATGTAGTGTTGAATATTCTATCTGTTGCCAAATCCTGCATTTTCAAACTCAGATGTCTCTGGAATGGGGCAACAGATCTACAGAAAAGCAACATTTTTAGATAAGGTTAGTACAGTTCTATAGTGAACTGAGATATGGCTTAATATATTTAAATAAATTCAAATTATTTTATTCTATTTTATTTTATAATTTTTTGAGTCAGAGTCTCACTCCATTGCCCAGGCACACTCATGGCCACCCCAGCGTTGACCTGCCAGGTTCCAGCAATCCTTCTGCCTCAACCTTCCAAGTAGCTAGAACTACAGGCCCGCGCTACCACGCTCAGCCAATTTTTTTAACTGTTGTAGAGACAAGGGCTTGCCAAGTTGCCCGGGCTGATCTCAAACCCGCGGGCTCAGGCAATCTACTTGCCTCGGCCTCCCAAAGTGCTGGGATTACAGGCTGAGCTACCGAGACCAGCCAATTCAAATAATTTTAGAACAGAAAAGGACTTATTTCACCCAGTGATTATCAAATCTAGTTGTGCATCAGAATCACCCAAGGAGCTTGTTAGAAAGCACAGACTCCTAGGTCACATACATGGCAATTCTGCTTCAATACATTTGAATGAGGTCCCAGAATGTCTTTTTAACAAGTACCCTAAATAATTTTGATGCATAGCTCCCAAGTATTTTGTAATCACCCTTAAGCCAGGTATTACACGTAATTCATCTCTGTATTCTTATCTAGATTAGCAAAGTGCCATGCACCTAGCAGGTGTAAAATAAATGTTTCCAGGGGATTGGGTAGAAAGTGGGTACAAAGATTAGTTCAATGACTTATGGAAGTTCCTTCTTGCTCAACCTTACCAGTCAGAAATGAAAATTAAAACCACACTGAGATACCACCTAACTCCAGTCAGGATGGCCATCATCAATAACTCGAAAAACAACAGAAGCTGGAGAGGATGCAGTGAAAAGGGAGCATTTCTACACTGTTGGTGGGAGTGTAAACTAGTACAACCTCTGTAGAAAATAGTGTGACAATTCCTAAAAGATCTAAAAATTGACCTCCCATGTGACCCCACAAGCCCCTTCTAGGAATATACCCAAAGTAACTCAAATCACTCTATGAAAAAGATACCTGCACATGCATGTTTATTACAACACTATTTGCAATAGCAAAAACATGAAACCAACCATGCTACCCATCAAAAGAGGACTGGATTTTTTTAAATGTGGTACTTGTATACAATGAATATTATGCAACCATAAAGAAGGACAAAATTATGAACTTCGCAGCAACTTGGATGGACTTAGAGGCTATAATAATGAGTGATTTATCATAGAAACAAGGAAGCGAGTATCATATGTTCTCACTCATAAGCAGACCTTGAACAACTTTCAAAATACTATAAGAAAGGGATTGGCAGCAGTGGGAACTGCCAGGGGAGGGCAGGGGCAGGAGTGGCAGTAGTGGAAAACTGCCGGGGTTGGGGACCTTATCAGCAAGGGTACCTGCAAAATGAACATTTCTATCCCTAACCCTGAATTGTACCCCACATATTTAAAATAGAAATTTATATATATATAAAAGAACCCAGTTTCTATTTGGCCCAGCAATGGAGAAATAAGGGCTTCAGGATCTTTTCTTCTTCAGTGATCTTTCAGATCAAGTACAGTACATTAAATCATCCAAAATTGATTATGTTATGGACATACAGTTGTATATATTCAACAACATAGGTATAATTCCTATCTCATCTTGCAAATTTTAATAAAGTAATTTCTCTGATTATAATTTTTTCGGTGTTAGAAAATATTCCCTAACCCTTTCCTGCTTTGGTGTATTAATATATTAGTTTGTTAATTAGTTCAAAAATGCATTGTGTAATATGCTCCTTGAAGCCAGGAAACAAAATATTACAGACACCTTTATTGCTCTTACTTTTCTCAGTTACACCTAGAAAAAGTTTGTGGCCAGTTATTAAAACTGCAGGTTTTGGATGACACTTATAATGTTCTTTTGGTCAGTTATACTACAGTTCAATTACATTTCCAAATAAGTTTTCAGTACAAGAGAGGATTAGTGCAGTGCCATTCTCTAGTTATTGCATCAACATTTTAGAACGTGGCTACAAGGTTTCCAGAAGGAGAAAGAGGAGAGAAATGAAAAGAAGGAAGGAAACGGGGAGGAATAACAAGAACACTTGAGCAGCAAACTCTTAACCTTGGTTTGTATTCTCTCCCACAGACCTAACACGTGGGTCTCATTTACCAGGATATTTAGAAAGTCCTGAGTCAATTTGCCCAAGAGTTAATTGTCAATACAATGCCACTTATCTAAGGGATTTTTAATTTCGTAGGAAATGCCCTTAATCAAAGTCATCAGTGCTTGAGAATAAGTCCTGCAAGAAGATCACTGTTACTGTAAATGAATATGTTGTAAGTCATTTGGTAATTTCCTCTGTTCTCATCAGTATTAATGGCACTGGTGAGCCCTTTTAACCAGGTGATAGTGTCATAACCATCTTGTACTATAAACAGGCGGTGGGCAAAGTGAACTTTAATAAAAACAGCTATGCATTGCTACAGAAACCTGTGTGATAATATACAACCTGAAATAATGTTACTATTGTACATGTAAACAAAAATGTGCTAGCCATAACAACCCCTCAGCATACCTGACAGATATTCAGGCTATGAAAATGCCTTTCCTCTAACTTATAAGTTGGTTCATGCATGTGCAATTGGGAATGGAATTGAAGTTGCAGGTTTAATATATAACCTCACAGCCGGGCTCGGTGGCTCAACCTGTAATCCCGTGCCTTTGGGAGGCTGAGGTGAGCGGATTGCCTGAGCCCGCGGGTTCGAGACCCGCCTGGGCAGCAAGACCTCATCTCTACAATAAATCAAAAAATCAGCCGGGCGGA